TGCAGAGAAACAGCAGTACCAGACCAGGCTGGTATTTGGTTGACTGACCACGTCCTGCTCTGCACCATGAGGAAGGATAGGCTGCCCAGCAAACCAAGCATCTTTCTCCTTCTCTTCTTCTTCCTCCCTGGAAACGCTTCTCCCACCACAGAACCGTAAGCTAAACATGGGGTTCTTTGGGCAGGCAGGAGACCTGGGTAGTATTCTTGACTCTGTCCTCACTCTGTCTGTCATCTTCTGCCAGCTTTCTTTTATCTAGGAATAAAGACACTAGAGCTGGGTAAAAAGTCTTCAACTAAAAGGAGTTCTAGTATTTCAAAGGGGCCCAAAACAGTCTGTGCAATTGGGGTATCTGTATTTAACTTTAACAAAAAAAAAAAAAGGAAAGAAGGTGCTACAAGAATACTTTTTGCTTCTTGAGAGAATGATCTGAAAACATTTCAACAGCTTTTTCTGCTCAGTATTGAATCTATAGTTAATAAGTGACTTTTTATAACTATTTACACACACAGCCAAATTTTATAAAATATAGATTTTTTTTTAAAAAAAGACAATGAAGAGCTTCACTTTGGGTGGACTCCCTACTCCCAAGTCATAATGCCCAGGAGAAGGGAGTATTTATTTGTTTCACTAATAACAAGAAAAAAGGAACAAATAACAGATCTGACATGACCAGATTTTTTTTTATTATTCTTATTTTTCAATTTAGCCAATAGAATAAAAACTTCCTTCTCAACTAGGATTATATGGCACTGTTACAGGAGGCATATGACTGTTAAGGTCTGTGAGGTGCTAGCAGACTGCCAGGGTGGTGTATTATACCATGTCCTTTCCTTACTCCCTTTTGCCCATACCTGCTTGTTTGTGAAAGTGTGTGGGGGCGGGGGGGGGTGTGAGTGTGTGTGTGTGTATGTTGGGGGGTGGGTGGCAGGAGCAGTGTACAAAGGATTTTGACATCCCAGAGACCTTATTGGGCTTTTTTGCAATGTCCCTTCCTCCCCAGCAAAGCAAGGCTGTGCTGCACTTCGATCAAACACAAAGTAAGCAGATGGCAGGGTCAAGAGCCAGGGAGTCAGTTTTCTCCCTGCAAACTGACTTAAGGACATAAGAGAGCTGTGCCAGGACTTCCCTTATCCTCCAAGGTGAACGCCCTACCTTGCTCTTGAGATGTTGAGGATTCTTCTCCCAGCCACTCACTGCTCTGGGGATGCTGGTAACTACTGAAAAGGCCAGCCTAGCTCATCCAAAGGGAAGCACTGTTTTCATTAGGAGACTCGGGTTTGATTCCCAGACTCAGAGCTATGCACCATGACACCATTAGCAAGTTGTTAATACGCAGCCACGATGGGGACTGGGTAAGGCAGAGCAGGGACCCAGCGCTCAGGCTGAGCCTGAGGGCGTTGCTTCTCAGTGAAAAAGTGAATTTGCTACAGCGTTTTTGCTTAAGATCTGGCACCACGCTGTGGCCATTTTGGATCTCTGCAAGGAATGAGAATAATGCTACAGATGGTTGACAGAGTGGAGTCAATGCTGTTTATTCACAAGGTCCTAGCACTTATGTGACTCCTAAATCCTACTAACATTATCTAGCAAAGGTGACAATTGACTTTTTGCTCTTCTCCCTACTGGCAGCATTTAGGGTTCCTGGAAGAACTGCTACTATTGTGCCAAAACCTGATATCCCTTCCAGACATTTGCTTCAAGAATTTCCAGCCGTATTTTACTTTTGAGCCTGGCATCTCTGCTTTCCCCAGCTTTCAGAGACATGATGGAAAACTTGTTACACTCCTATAAAATACACCTCTCTGTACAGTGAAGGCTGCAGTCATCAGATTGATTTATTTGCTCTTTCGGTACAGCTCCTGTTACCTCTTCCTGCTCCTGTGCTTCTTCCTCTGTGCTTCTGTGCTTGACTTGCGCTTCCCACTCTTCCTAGGCAGTACATGGTACTATTACCCTTTCTGATATCCACTGGCACTCATGAAAAGGTCTGTGTTCAGCTGACCCACCTGAATGAGTCTGTGACGCTGAGTGCCACACTGGAGTACCAAGGGGAAAATAGGAGCTTGATTGATGATGTGGTGTCAGAGAAGGACGTGTTCACCTGTATCCCTTTTTCAGTGAGTATCTGATGCTTGTGGGCTAACTGCTTGTGTGAGGGTTAAACTGTAAGGGCTCTGAGTAGTAATGGACAGAGTGGTACTGTGTAGGTATTCACTTCCCTCTTGACCACATTCATGTCCATCCTCAAAACCTTTCATGGCTTAGCTCTCCTTAGCATGCTACCTGAATGGGAAATATTGAATCCTGGAAAGCCAGCTCCTCCCTAGAACAGGAAAGAGAGAGGCCAGGAGAAAGAAGTGGATTTAGTTTTCACACTCCTGATGGCTGTTTGGTGGACATGTTGCTCAGATGGCTTCAGCAGCCACAGACTGTCATATGGGGAGCTTCAGTCTAGGATAGAGTTTTTGTACCTAAAATGCCTTTTGCCTTGTGGATACAATACACTGAATTAATGTGAGAACATGGAGATGTGCCTGTGTATGAGATACAGAGAAGCAGGGAATTCATACCTTAATGTAACTGAGAGCCCCCAGGACTATAACAGCAGTCCTGGGCAACTAGGAGAGTTAGTTACCTGACTCAGACAACAGATTATATCTTTGGCCTGAAGGCTAAAGAACTAGCCTTCAGGATACTGAATATGTTGGCTAGGTTTATCAGATACAGAGTGAGGACTGAATTTGCCATTTGGAGAGAGGTGTACAGAAGTCTATTATGGCTGGTTTGGAAAAGAAAGCCTTCTGCAGGGACTAAGGACAGTATCTGAGAGAAAAGGGGGATGATTCTATCCCTCTGGGAATGGCAAAAGGAAAAGAACAAAAACATTTTGGTGAGAACAGTGAGCAGTTTTTAAAATTAGGTGGCAGGCTAGGAGTTCAGTTGCTGCACACTACCTGCATAACCACTGCACAACATTAGGAAAGAGTAGGAATATGGGACAAGTAAAGATCAGTCTCTTGTTCCTGATTCCAATTCCCCTCACCTCTGTTTTGGGTCCATTAGGATTATGTTAGGTCCCTCATTTCACAAAGGCCAGTTCAGTTCAATAGGCTTTTACAGGTGATCACTAACACAGTTGTCTTCTTACCATTCTCCAGGTTCCAAAATCAAATAGCCAGTCACAAGTCACATTTATCACTGTGCTGGTGAAAGGGGCAACACTGGAGTTCAGAAGCCGCAAGTCAGTGCTGGTCAAGAATTCTGAAAGTTTAGTCTTTGTCCAGACAGACAAACCCATCTACAAGCCTGGACAGACAGGTACCAGGGAACGGGTAGAGATTTGTATTCAAAGCAAATATTCCTATTAAAATTGTTGGGCTGTGCTGACCAGAAGTTGACAGTGCAGTCAATGAGGGTCAGAACAACAGTTTGTCATATGTTTTTAATGCTCTGTATGGGAATAAATTAGGGAACTGTAAGATACACACATGTACCCAAAGGCACCTGCGCACACTCCCTCTGCCCTTGGGAGTTCTATCCATGCAATTTTGACCCTCTTCCATAAAGTTTTGATCCCCTTTGCTAAAACCACCAAAACTGGAACAATGACTGGATATTTGTCCATTAGAGAACAGGGACAAAATTCAGGCTAAATAGCTCTCAAAGCGGCAGCTGATTTTGCTCACTGAAGACATGAGATTAGAACTATATAAGCCATTTCTTCTGGCCTATTCATCCCTTAAATTTGTCCTGGACAAGGACTAATGTCCTAAAAGAGACACTGAATACCCTGTCTGTCCAGAACCAACAGGGAACTTGCAACCAGTGCTGGAATGATTTCCTTGCATTCATCCTTCCTAAGAAGTCAGTCTGGTTAGAACAAAATTGGAAGACCCATATTAACTGCAATGTAAAAATGCACGCTTGCAGCTGAAGTAGACAAAGATGATCTAAAGTGTAACTTTGGTCTTGATTAGTCAGTTTCTGAATGCCATGGTCAGTAAGATATTCACACTGCCTGTGAACATGCTTTTACCATCCTATTATTAATGTCATTTTTCACACGGATAACCTCGCCTAACTTAGCTTTCTAGTGAATGGAATTTTCTTAGAAGAGAATGACTCTGTTCTCTGTTGTACCATCTGTGTTTGCAACTGATATTTTCTCATTGGTGACTGCACTGTGGAACCTCACTGTCTGCCTTTTCCACCAGTTCTGTTCAGAATTGTTTCACTGGATGAAAACTTCCATCCCTTGAATGAGGTGGTAAGTATGGCACTTCTTTTTCAGTAGTTATTTGGCCTTCAGTCACCTATGTGGGAAAACGGAGGAAAGAAATGTCATTTGAGAAGAACTGTCACTATGCTGAGGTAGTTACACAGTTCATAGGCTATCTCACTTCTTGTTAACCAGATCTCTTCTTCAGATTTCTGCAGAAGGCTACCTTCTGCATTCTTGGAAAGGTTTGAGAATGAAGCTGCAAATGGACAATGCTTGTGTAAACACCTCAACAGTGAGCAAATCTGCCCTTATCACAATGTACCCGTGGGCTCAGTTAGCCTGCTCTAATTGATATTCCAGACCATCCAGAGTTAGTAATTTCAGCTGACTTTTCTATCTTGGTTGAATGCCTTAGGCAAAGTGCCACTCCCTTGATGTACCTCATAATGCTCTGTTGCTCCCTATCAGAGTCTTTCCTCCTTATCCCTTTGGGTGATCAGCTTGTTCCTTGAAATGTGATGGTCATAGCCATGGTCATTTGATTGTATTGCTTGCACTTTGCCTAAATGTGAATTCTAAATACACTGTTTCATTTCTTCTGTTTCTAGTTCCCACTGGTCTATATTGAGGTATGTATGGACATTCAGTTCGTGTTCAGCTCTATCATACTTCATACCTGGGCTGTGTAACTACCAGCTGCCTCAAGATGATTCTTGCCTATATAGCAGATCCATAGCATTAATTTGAATATGCAAAGCTTTAACTGATACGGTGGCAACCACATACTCTGCACCAAGGTTACAGCTAATTCTGTTTTCCAACCCTGGGCTCACCACATAGCTCTGCTAGTGCACCCCACTCCTGCCCTGCAGACCTCTGCAACCCTGGGCTTGGGCCTCCCCCCACTGCCTTTGGCAGTGCTCTTTAGTTCTCATTGGAACCACTCACTATTGTCCCAGTCACCTTGTGTTCTTGTTTTCTGTAGGATCCCAAGAAAAACCGCGTGTACCAGTGGACAAAGGCAGAGTTAAAGGGAGGGTTAATCCAGATGTTCTTCAACCTCACCTCTGAGCCCATCCAAGGGACCTACACAGTTGTGGCACAGAAGGTTTCGGGGAAAACAATCCAACATCCCTTCTCTGTGGAGGAGTATGGTAACTACTGCTGCTGTACACAGTTTCAAGACCCTGGCAACTAACCCAGTGGGGCATGAAAGTTCAGTTGAACAGGGTAGTAGAACTGAGCAGGATACCCAGCATAGCTGAAAAGGTGTTTCTGCCCTTTCGCTCACAAGCATCATCCCCTTCTGAGGAGTGAAGACTGAAGGTCTGAACTAGTGCTTTCTGCTCCTCTCAAAGCCTGAGAGCATACAAGCATTCTACCCTGGAGAAGTCTGGCTGTCCACCTCAGCAAGGGTCGCATCAGGAGTGAGTGTACTTGGGCAGTCAGTGCTGGCAGTCAGAAGCTTTGAGAGGTGGCTTAAGACCATAGCCCCATCTGCAGATAGGTCCACACCTGTCAAGTGTTGTGCTCTGAGTCTGAGTCTTCCCTGTGTGAGTCCCAAACCTTGACTTTTTGGTTTAGACTGGGGCTATAAGTTCACATCCTGCCTGCTCTCCCACAAAACTAAGCCTGTATCTCACAGGTTGCCTTAGCCCTTCTCTGGTACACTCACCCCCATGCCAGTCCATCTGGTTGGCTAGAAAATGGGATCCCAGCACCGCCCCCCACAAATGGCCCCTCTTCCCATGCACAAGCACAGCCTTCCTCACACTTCAGCAAGCTAGCTGCAGCCCCTGTTACATGGTCCGGCTTGATCTGGCTCATGCAGCAGAGATGAGGCTTCTGAAAGTCCTTTGTCCTCTTTCAATTGCATGCCTTTTACACTGCCCTGAATTCTTCCTAGTTGCCCCAAGACAGTCACCATCCACTTCCACTCCTGCAGCTGTCTTTGGATGTGATGTCACCATGTTGTGAGTGGGTCATCAGGGAAGCTATGTATTTTTTTCTGTTTTGCAAATTGATAAGAACTGTATGCTTTGGAAATGCAAAGACTAGGCTGTGGTCCCAGCTCTGTACTTTTCTGAGAGATTTCTGCTGACTAATTCTCTATTTAACTCTATCCTACCTCTGTGGGACTGATAACCCATGTGCTACTTAAGAGGCTGCTGTATTTTAATAGTGACTGTAACAATCCTATCTTTTTAACCTGGCACAGTGATTTGCTGAGTACTTGTGGCTTTCATTGACTTCAGTGGGACCTGCAGGTGACCCAGGCCTCTAAAATCTGACTAGTTAGATGTGAAAGGTTTTCAAGACTTTTGTGAAAGGAGCCTCTGAGCAGCCTTCATGTCTCACTCCTGTGTTATTCCCCACCACATCCACTTGTTCCCTTCAATTTTGCTGCAGTGCTGCCGAAATTCGAAGTAACAGTGAAAATGCCAAGGGTGATCAGCATTCTTGACGAGCAGCTGAAGGTGACAGTTTGTGGTCTGTGAGTCTCATTCTTCTTTGAATCCTTCTTGTTTTCAACTTTTACTTCAGCTGCTGCTAGAGGCCCAGTTGGAGTACTGGGATATGATACTTCATTATTTTTCTCAATAATTTTTGTGGGGAGGTAATAAACAGAGAGATGTGTAGTCCCAGGTCCAAATGGACTACATCTACCATTAAAAAAAAGGCTTTGTAACAATTATTGCTTGGGGCAGTTTGTCTGTAACATGTAGAAACATCCATTGCTTTTCTGTTTATTTGTTTTATTTTTATTTTTTACATGTTTAATGACATAAGAATCATAGAGTATTTAAGACTGGCTGCAGTGCTAAGGAGGAGGTTTTCAGTATAGTTTAACTGGGAATGACATTTTAAGCATGGCTTCTCCTGTCATTGCTGAGGGAAAAGTGATGGAGCTGCCCTATTTCCTCTTGGCCACCTCATTTGATTCTACATGGTATGTGTTCCCAGCATCCTAAAGGGAGAATCACAGTAGGTGCTGCAAACTGAGCTGAAAGAGGCAGTACAAATGCGTACACGGAACAGTTGCATCAGAATCAGGTGGTGGTGTAGATACCTGTAACATATTCTCCAAGACAAGGTCTGTTCTCACTGTTCTCTAAGTGATTTCTGCAGACTTATGTCTTATTCTCAGAAGGGAAATGACGAGTATAAGTTTCAGTGTTCATGCCTCCAACCCCCATCGCCAGACTTGATCCTAAAATGCTATCAAATTTGTTGCCACCTTATACTTTATGTAATGATCCTGCTGTGTCCTGGAGGCAGCTCTAAGGAAAAGTCCTGTCTTTCCTGGGGATAGGCTGGTCATTTTTCTCCATCCTTCTTATGTTCCTAATGGTTATGCTTTTCCTTCAACCTTCCTTGCTGGTAGATATACCTTTGGAAAGCCTGTTCCTGGCCTTGTGAGCTTCCGTGTATGCCGGGATTTTGAATACCCAGCCACCACCTGCTATGGTGAAGAGGCAAAGGCAGTGTGCGATGAATTCTCTGGGCAGGTGAATCATGATTACTCTTGTGGCGGGGATGATATGAGAGAATATGGTGTACTGAACATGTCCTAGGCACAGGTTTGTTCTGATGGAGTATATACAAGTGTGAGTGTGAAGAGGGGAGAGACTCCAGGTATTTTAAGGAAGACTGAAGAAAGAAAGAAGATTGGATGCAAGATAAAATGCATAAAAACAAGGAGAAGGTTTGTGCAATAAGAAAGATTTGTGTAAAGGCAATAAGCCGATGGAGAAGGAAAATATGAAAGAAACAATAAAAGTTTAGATGGAATGTAGAGAGTATCAGGGAGAAGTGAGATAAAATAAGCATGAGCAATGAGAGCAGAATTGGGGTTGATGTGTGTTTGATGCAGGAAAAGAACAGAAACCAGAGGAAGGATGGTGTGGTTTGAGCAAGGAGGAAAGGAATATGATTTTAGCAGCGGTGATTAGGTCAGACAAGAAAAAAAAAAGTTGACTCTTCAGGCTAGCATGTCTAAGAGCAAAATGTAAGGCGGTTTGGAGCATTTGCAAATGCAACAATGCTAACTTCGCTGATAGAAGCTGGTGTAATAACAGCTATGGAAAAGTGCCAGGACAAGAGAACAAGCAGAGGACATGCTTATAGTCCTTGGGGCTTTCTACAGCATCATCCCTACAACTCTTCCACTGCTGTTGTTATCTGCGCTAAAAAAGAGTGTGAATACAGCAGTTCTAATCTGTATTCCAAGCAGCTCTTCCCTTTACTGTGGAAACCTTCCTTGTAGACAAAGATACTGAAGACAGGTGGCAAGCTTTGGAAAGCTGTCATCTTTCTACACACGCCTAGGCTTTGCCTTATGTATCACTCATATTGCTTTTGCATTTTAAGCCAGCAGTTATGTTCTAATGTGCCTGACACCTGACAAACCTTTCCACTGTGACATATACCCAAATAATTCCCTATGCTTTTATATCAACTATTTGGAATTTCAAACTTCACAAACACCCATACACAAAAATCTTCTGAGTTTCAAGCCTGGTAAACTCTTTGCTCTGATGTTGCTGAGAATGCTCCTTGCCAAGTTATATTCTTTTCCAGTTTTGCTAAAAATAATGAAGAGAATGCCTTATGACATTATAGGCTTCTCTTCCACTTCAAGATAGTACACAGTAATGGGTTCATTAAGTTGCATAAACATTATGTACATGAAACAATAAGAATCTTGTTTGTTTTCCTCCAACAGACTGACAACCATGGCTGTGTTTCTAAAGTGGTAAAGACCAAGTTATTCCAGCTCAAGAGAACTGGATATAAGAATAAGCTCCATGTGGAGGCTAAGATTAAAGAGGAGGAGACAGGTATGAATCATCTAGGTCAAACTGCTGTATAAGCAGCCTGGGAGCAGATCAGCATAGGGGCCTGCCAAGTAGGGATAGGGACAAAAGCAGACTCCTAGTTCTAGAATCCTAAACTTTTTCTCCTTGGAATCCAGGAACATCAATAGAATTGCTTGTCCAGCAAAGGAGAGTTGGCCAGGAAGAACAGTAATTCTGATCAGGCAGAGACAAATTAATTCTTGATGCTTCTTCCTGCAGGAGTGGAGTTGACTGGAGCAAGCTTCTCTGAGATCACAGCCACGATTAGCAAAATCACCTTTGAGCAGACAGACTCCCACTACAAACCTGGAATCCCCTTCTTTGGGCAGGTAGGGAAACCACGAGGAGTGGAATTTCATGAGTGCCAACCATGCTACTGAACCTGCTGGATGGATTCATGGCCCCCTCTATGAAGGATGCTGGATCTCAGCAAATCCCTGGGGGCCTCCTCTCCTCTGCAGGCTCTGGAGGCAGGGTACAGCAGCTGAGAGCACAGACCTCATTCTGCTTACCCTTCTGTCCTTGGGCTTCCTCTTCTTAAGGCAAGTCAAGGTTCTGTTTCTCTGGTGTGCTCCTGACCAGGAAGCCTAACAGCTGTGAGGACATGTCATTTCCAGGTCCACTACTCTGACCCAGGGATGGAAATAATAAAGGTCCGAAGAAATAGGATTCAGAAAGTTTGCAGCTCTCTGAAAAAGATAGGTGATGCACATGTAAAGTACAGTGGAGGCTTCCCTGTCTGACATGGACTGAACATTGTTGGCCTCATGGCATATCGGCCTGTTCAGCTGGCAGGCATTGTTTTCCTTCTATACTGAATTGTTTTTGCTCCTTCAGGTGAAGCTAGAGGATGGATCTGGTACTCCAATTGCCAATGAAACCATAAGGATTTCTTTAAACGGAGGCCAGGAGAACAACTACACAACAAATGAAGAGGGCCGAGCATGGTTTGCCGTGAACACTTCCATGTTTTACTTCGATTCTATTGGAATTAGAGTGAGTCCTGGGAGACAAGGAGGTGATGAAGTGATTGGCAGGGCTAGAAGAGAAGTAGCGCTGATGTTTGTACTATGAATGCAAAAGCGCTTAGCTTCTTGTTCCTGGCTGTTCATGCCAGCCTTGACATCAGTGTGGTGGATATAGCCATACAACAAACCAAGTTGCCATGTGACAATTGTATTTAGCTTTTATCTACTTGATTTCTGCTTGGCAATAGCAATATAGGGTTGGAAGAAATTTCAAGAGATCATATAGTCTATTCTACTCCAAGGAATCACCAACCATACATAGACAAATCTGTCTCAGGATAATCTATCCTATTATTAAAAATCCTCCCACAGTGGAGATTCTACAACCTCTCTAAATAAGCACTGATGGTGCTTTGCTGTCTGTTTGGTTAAATGATTTCTCAATTATCTCATCTAAATATCTTTTGCGGTTGGTTATGGCAACCTGCATCTCTCAGGGTTTAATTTAGCATTCTTAATCTCTGAGCCCTCCTCTTTTGTCTTTTTTTTTCCTACCATATATATATAGAAAAAAGAATCTTTAAAAAAAAATTGTCTGTCTGGTGTAGAATTTGTTAATCTAGAAAAAATAAGTGCTGCTGAGCATCCTTTTGTTGGTGGGAAATACAATGTGTGTAGCATATACGTGTTGTAATTTGCAAGTTTTCTAGTATCTCAAGCTGGGAGAGGGCAGGTTGTCTAGAATTATATTCTATCTTCTCCTTGTAATTCTCTTGTCACAGATTAAGACCTGTTAAATTATCCAGAAGTTACTGCAGTATGTGTGAGGTTTTCAGAAATTTGCAAGGTGAAGAAAAAGCAGTAATTCCCAAGCAGAGTGAGAAAGATAGGGAAATGAGAGCACGCGTGACAAACAAAATGCTGAAATAACACCTTCCAAATGTAAAATATCTTCCCCTTGCTCTCATTGCTAATA